AGGCAGGGGCTCCACCCCTCAGCCACGCCCCCAGCCCCTCACTGGGGGAGTCTAGGCAGGGGCTCCACCCCTCAGCCACGCCCCCAGCCTCTCTTGAGCACTGCTTCTGGGTCCCACCCTAGCTGTCTTAGCTGTCTGGTTTCATCCTCTACTCTCTGTCTTCTGTTTGTGTTTCAGATCATCTGTTTGGATCTTTCAGAGGAGATGTCTGTGCCAAAACTGGAGTCCTTTAATGGGTACGGTGCTACTGGGCTCAAATATGGGCCGCTCAGAATGTTTACCCAAGTAGGATCCAGGTGTCCATGACAGTTTCAGGGCTTGTGGCCTTCTAGGCTTCTGTCCATATGTGTGACACTCTTAGGAGCCTAGTGATCCCGGCGTGTGTGTGTGGTGGGGCGCAGGTTGATGGGGCAGGCCACTGTCAGGTGAGTTCTGTGTGCCCCTGGCAGTTGTAGTAGCAGGTGTCACATCTGGAGTGGCCTCAGGGTTCTGTATGGGATAAGAATTAGGCCACAGGAGCCGGTGGCACACACCTGCCATCTCAGCACTGGGAGGTGGATATGGAGGAATCAGGAGGTCTGGGCAATCAGTAATTTGGGTGCCAGTTTGGGTTCCACAGCAGTCTTGAGGCTATGCACCCTATGGTGAGTTTGAGGCTAGCCTGCACCCTATGGTGAGTTTGAGGCTAGCCTGCACCCTATGGTGAGTTTGAGGCTAGCCTGAACTCTATGGTGAGTTTGAGGCTAACTTGGTGTATTAGTCTGGGTTCTCTAGAAGAACAAAGCTGATGAATGAATGTGTATACATACACAATTAAATATATAGATAAAATACATTTATAAAGTGGATTATTAGAGTGACTCACAGGCTCTGGCCCAGCTACTCCAACAATAGCAGTCTACTAAGGGAAAAGTTGTTCAGTGCATGAGACTGGGTGTCTCAGCTGGACTTCTGTATATGCTGGAGTCTTGAAGAAGTAGGTCCTAATGACAGTGAAGGAATGGACTTGCTAGTGAGAGCAAGAGCAAGCAGGCAAAGCCAAGTGTCCCTTCATCCATGTCATTTACATAGGCTGCCAGCAGAGGGCGCGGCTCAGATTGAAGGTGGCCCTTCCCACTTCGGAAGGAAGCTGTGCATGAGAAGCAGATCTGTATTAGAAGCGGGTCTTCCCACTTCAAATGATTTAATTAAGAAAAGAGTGCCTCAGCTGGGCAGTGGTGGCGCATGCCTGTAATCCCAGTACCTGGGAGGCAGAGGCAGGTGAATTTCTGTAATATTGAGGCCAGCCTGGTTTACATAGTGAGTTCTAGGACAGCCAGGGCTGTTGCACAGAGGAACCCTGTCCTGAAAAACCAAAAAAAGAAAAAAGAGAAAAAAGGGACAGAATTCCTCCTAGCCATGTCCAGCCCCTTGGATTTTAGTTAATTTCAGATGCAGTCAAGTTGACAACCTGCCGCTGTCACCCCGCCTCTCCCAGCTCCAGGACAAACGCCCTGAACGTGTCTCAGAAGATGGTTGAGATGTTTGTGCGCACGAAGCACAAGATTGACAAGAGCCACGAGTTTGCACTGGTCGTGGTGAATGACGACCCCGCTTGGGTGAGGCTCGGGGCTGACTGGGACTCTGGGAGACCTCGGGACCGGGAACCCCAGTGCTGAGGCTCTGCCTTCCCTGCAGCTGTCCGGACTGACCTCTGACCCCCGTGAGCTCTGCAGCTGCCTGTACGACTTGGAGACGGCGTCCTGCTCCACGTTCAGTATCCTTGTCATAATCCCTGACCCCAGATAGCGCTGCCGCCATGGGGGCTCAGTGGTGTTGTGGCCTCCCTCCAACACACAGCCTAGGTTGAGCACCAGAACCCAAAGCATTCCAGACTCGGAAGTCAGTACTTTTCTATAGTTGCTGGTTTTTGACACAGGACCTTGCTGTGTAGCTCAGGCTGAATTCATGATCCTCCTGCCTCAGCATCCTGAGAGTAGAATGACAATGGCTCAGAACCATGCCCCCTAATTCTTTATTTTTAAATATTTGTTTATTGAGACAGGGTCTCATTATGTAGCCCCGACTGTACTGGAACTCACTGTGTAGATCAGGTTGACCTCAAACTCACAGAGACCCACCTGTGTCTGCCTCTTAAGTGCTGGGATTAAAGGTGTGTACCACCACCTCACATCAAATTTATCAAATCTATTTTTGAGACTTTCTCATGTAGCCCAGCTTAGCATTGAATTCACCGTGTAGCTAAGGATGGCCTTCAGCTCCTGATTCACATGTAAGCGCTGGGATGACAGTGTGATGGAGAGGAACCCTCAGCTACATGACTGCTGACCTGCTGCAGGCACTGCACCCACTGAGCTGCAGGCACCTGAATCCCAGCCCCAGCAAAGCTCAGGGGTTTTGCCCAGTGAAATCATAAATAGAATATTCCATGTATGATATTATAGGAGTTACATACAAGACCCAACATGCGGCCAGGTGTTGGGGTGCAGGAGAGTCAACCTACCACTCAGAAGCTGAGGCAGGAGGATTCCTAGTTAGAGACCAGCCTTACCAACAAATATCTAGACTCTGTTTCAAAACCATAAAATCAGACCTCCTTTCCCCCCCCCAAAAAAAAGCAGTGACAGAAAGCTGGCTGTTAATCCACAGTGATGTCAAACCCACAGCCACCGAGAACCCAGGCCGCCTTGAGTCCCTAGCATCCACCCAGAATGGTGGAGGGGTTGGTGTCAGCGAGTGTGACTCATCCAGGGGACGCTCCACTGCAGCAGGGCTGGCGTGCAGTTACCTGAAAAGTCATAACCCTGTCTTTCACCTGGTGGCTCCCCCAGAATTGAGGATGCAGTAGATGTGGCAGGAGAGGAGAGCCCTGGAGGGTCTGCAGGGAGTTAAGGCCACCACCCACTTTATGAGTGAGAGGCAGTGGGCTTAGAGAGGTGCTATGCTGGGTAGGAATATCCGCCTACCCCAGGGGTCACACAGCTACCTCAGGGGTCACACAGCTACCCCAGGGGTCACATAGCTATTCCAAAGGTCACACTGCCTACCCCAGGGGTCACACTGCCTGGCCCCAGAGGTGCCCGTCATCTCCCAGGATCCAGGTCAGGAAAGCCCCCTGCCTCCGAGCTGGCACCCCGTCCTTAGCATCCCTTCAGATCTAGAAGGTCTCTTCAGTCTCATGTGAGTGGTCATCCAGAGTGGCGCATGCCTTGGGTTCCTTCCCCAGCCAGGTGCAGACAGATTCAAGGCTGCCCAGTGTGTGTGGGGGGGGGCGTGGAGGGACTGGGGGGCAGCCCGGGACAAGACCCTGTGTCCAGCGGTGGGGCTTGAATTTGTTTTTCTTTTGAGAAGGCTTTTAAAGAAGTCATACAGTTTTTTACTATGTATTTATTTTGTGTGCAAGCACATGGGCCACGGTGCTTGTGTGGAGGTCAGGGGCAACTTGTGAGAATCGAACTCAGGTCCTTGAACTTGACTGCAGGTGCCTCGAGCCCTGGAGCTGTCTCTCTGGCTCTGGCTTTAACATGCAGGGCTGCTAGGATCGTGCTAGGGATTCAGCTGTGATAGGTGGGGCTCCGGCCAGGGCTTGTAGGCGGCTGAGGACCCAGCTCTTCTCTTGTAGCCAGCAGAAGACTGAGCTGCCAGTCACAGAGAATGTGCAAACCATCCCGCCCCCCTACGTCGTGCGCACCATCCTGGTCTACAGCCGCCCTCCCTGCCAGCCCCAGTTCTCCCTGACTGAGCCCATGAAGGTAAAGCCTGGAGGGAGGGGAGGCAGTGGTTGGATACCAAAGGGGACCTCCCAGGACCGCACAGGCTGGAGCTCACCCCCACCTTACTCTCATTCACTGCAGAAGATGCTCCAATGTCCCTACTTCTTCTTTGACATTGTTTGCATCCACAATGGCACCGAGGAGAAGGAAGATGAGAGGAGGTGGAAGGTGAGAGACAGTGGAGGACGGTTGGGTGTCTCAAGCTGTCTGACTTGGACCTGCCCCTGCAGTCATTTAACAGCTGTTTCCTACATTCCACTCTGTGTTGGTGGTGACTGACTTGGGAGGCTGTGGCCTTAGCAGCCAGCCCACACCATTCCTAGCACTTCATGCCTCCCAACTTTACCCTGCTACGCCGTGTGCCTGCAGCACCCTCCCCTCCCAGCTTCTCCAGGCCTCACTGCTTCTTATCCTCAGACTTGCCCTGTGAGTGGGTTACTAATACCTGTGAATTTCAGTTTACAGACTGCAAGGTGGGGCAAGTAAAGGCGCCTGCAGGCAAGCACATGGACTCGCGCTCAATCCCAGGACCACCATGGTGGGAGCACTTGCTCCCAGGGGTTATATCCTGACCTCCATACACCTGCACTCAGTGCACGCAGACACCCCCACACCTGTTCATGCACACACGTATGTGTGCACACGCATGCACATGGAGGCACATTCCCACACATGTATGCACACACCCATGTACACCTGTAACTCCAGCCCTTCTGCCTGTGAGTGAGGCACCGGAAAGGCTGAGGCAGGGGTTGTGACGTGATGGGGATGTTGTGTGACAAGACTTTTCCTGGACAGATACAACACCCCTGAGAGGAGCCCACGGCACACCGAAGTACAACAGACACCATAACATCCAGCTTGATGAACCAGTGAACTTACTGGGGTTGCTTACAGGAATAGGGTGGGGGTCACCTACAGGAGCAGAAATGACTCACAGACAGCTGCATCACCAAAGCCCACACAGCAGGGCTGACAGCTCACAGGCTGGGAGCTTGGAGCACACTGCACAGCCTGCAGGCTGGAGAGTGTCCGGCCATGTAACTCTGGTCTAAACCTCTCCAGGCCGCTGGTCTCAGAGGAGCTCCCTACCCCAGCAGGGAGGGGCCTAGTGAATCTGCTCAATTTCAGGGACTTCCTGAAGCTGTTTGGAGGTGTTTGCCTTCCTGCCTACTGAGCTTCCCTTCAGGGTAGAATGTTTATCTCAGAGAAAACCCTTTACTACAGAGTGAGGCCTTGTTTGAGGGAAAATGCAGGTGGCAGGTGCTGCTGTGAGCCCTTTCACCCCTCCCCTCTGGTTTGAAGCAGAGTCTCTTGTTGCCACGGCAGCCACCCTGCTGGCTCCTGAGTTTTCTGGTCCTCCCACCCTGCAGGGGAGTGCACTGGGATGAAGGTTATGTCCTGCTGTGTCAGCTGTCCATGTGTGCTGGTTTTGAACTCGGGCCCAAGCGATTGCCTGGCAGATACTTTACTCACTGAGCCCCCTCTTGCCAGCACTTGGGCTTCTAGGGTGCCCAGGTCCTGGCTGCCTGGTGGGTACCAGCCAATGTTTGCTGACTGCATTAGTAGTTTCTGGCCTGACCAACTCCTCTTCACCCCTCAGGACCCACTGTAGATGCCCCTTACTCTAGGAAGGCCTCCAGGGGCAGGGAGGGCCTCTGAGGGCTAATGCCAACCCTGAACAGCCTCTACTTGGTCCCCGCAGGATGTATTCTCCTTCATGGGCAGCCTGGACACCAAGGGCACCAGCTACAAGTATGAGGTGGCACTGACTGGGCCGGCCCTCGAGCTGCACAACTGCATGGCCAAGCTGCTGGCCCATCCGCTTCAGAGGCCCTGCCAGACCCATGCGAGCTATAGCCTGCTGGAGGATGAGGAGGCTGGTGAGGGCGAAGCCACCGTGTAACCCGTGGCATTTCTGCACCGTTCAGGAGCTCTGTGCACCCATGCCCACTCCTACTGTGTCTGCTATAAATTCTTCCTGGGACCAGTTTGTCACCAGAATAAAAATCTGAGGCTTCTGAGCCTGCCTTCTGGTCATTTTAGGTTCACTGAGACAGAAAACAGGAGCTGAACCGAGCAGTCTGGCATGGCTTCTGGCTCGGCCGGATGATCTCGGTGTCCTGATGCCATTGTGACCTGGGCTGTTCGCTCCCTCGGACTGGTGTTAACTGCAGTTTGCAAACTCCTCTTCACCTTTCAGAACCCAGCCCAGACGTCCTTTCCTCCAGGAGGTCCTCCGGAGATAGGGATGATCTATTGCAGGCAAGACTGGTGTGGCGACCATAGGAAGTGTTTACTTTTTGGGTCCTCCTGGACACTCAAGGGTCCCAGCTCCAAGTGGGAAGTGGGTTGGGGTGACATCTGTTATTATCCCACCACCCCAAACTGGGCTGCAGTACTGTTTGGACCTGTGTAACCACACGGCTTCCCCATGAGCGATCACCACCCAGGGTTCTAGGATGGGGACATATGGTGGGCGCCCCAGAAGAGGAAGGCAAACCTGGAGTCCCACCTTTCCAGGTCAGGCCACAGAGGTTCATCCACTCCACCTTCTCCATTGATAGAAAACAAAGTGGCAGTGGGTGGGAGTCAGGCTCACTTTGATGTGGGAGACAGAGGCAGGAGGATGGCCAGTTTTAGGTCAGCAGGGGCCACATAGAGAAGCCTTGGTTCAAAAGGATTACAAACAGAAATAGACCGGACCTGGTGATGACTCAGCTGTTCAGAGCACTGGTTGTGCTTGCAGAGAACCTGGGTTCGATTTCCACGTTCGGGCTCGCAACTTACGTTCCGGGCGATCGGATGCCGCTTCTGGTCTCCATGGACACCAGGAACACGTGGTATACACAGACAGGCATGCAGGCAAAACACCCACACACTTTTAAAAAAGTAGGTCAACTTGATCAAATGCTTTCTGGCCCCTTCATTTATTGGCCACTTCGTATTGAGTCCTGTCCTCCATTTGCAAATAAGGAAAATGCAGCTCTTTAGAAATTTTTATTTAATTAATTTGTGTGTGTGCGCATGCACGCTTGTGCAGGCCCACAGCCAAGACACACATGTGAATGTCAGTCTGTTCTCTTTCCAATGTCTGCCTCCTGGGGTTGGGATCAAACTCAGGTCCTCAAGCTTGGCAGCAAGCACCTTTATCCGCTGAGCCATCTCCAGGCCCTGGTGAAGACCTTCCTCACAAAGCGACAGTGACAGCCAGCTCTGCTGGATTGAAAATGCACGACGCTGTTCCTCAGGAGGCAGATCCCAGCACTCGCAGACTGAGGCAGGAGGGTGGCGCTGAGTTCCTGGACAGCTTGGGCTAAGTCTAGGATACCCAGTAGTTTGTTTTGTTAAAGACAAAGAGAGGTTCTGCTCTTTATCCCAAGCTCCCCTGGAATTCGCGGTAATTCCTGGCTCAGCTTTCCGAATCCCGGAATGGGACCCCACCTTCGCGCACCGCCTCCCTCTCCATTTCCTGCGGTCTGACGGTCCAGGACCCACCCTGTCTCCGTCAGCCGCTCCAGGTGCCGGTCCAACCAGGGCGTTCCCAGAGGCGGGGCTGGGGAGCCGAGGGGCGGGGCTGCGCGTGCGCAGAAGTCGCCGCGCAAATTTGAATCCGAGGGCAGTGACACCGCTGGGACATGGCCGACGCTGCCAAGGAACTGTTGGTTGCACTGCGCGAGGAAGATCCGCGGTGAGCGCGGGACGCTGGTCCTCCCTTGCCTTCTGCTCCCTGGGCGGCCAAAGGGCTGATGTCCACTGTCACCGTCTGCCGCAGGGCTGTGGAGGAGCTGCTGCACCTCGGGGCGGACCCCAGTCTGGTGCTGGAGGATGGCGTGGCGGCGGTGCACCTGGCGGCCCGAGCTCGCCATCCGCGCGCCCTGCATTGCCTCCGGATCCTTCTGCGCCGGGGCGCCGATCCCAATGCTCGGTGAGGCGCCGTCCGGGTCATCCTGGTGTGGTGGGTGTGACTTGGGGACCCGGCGGCCCTGGGCTCCCGGGTCCCAGGCGTCAGGTCTAGGAGGTGTCTGCTTCCGAGGTCGGGACAGGTCATTCTGGCACTCCGAGGGTGAGGCAGGAGGATGACCGTGAGTTATCAACTTCCCCCTCACCCCCATTGGTAGTGGGCACCCGTCGTCTCAGCACAGGGGCCTGAGGCAGAAGGAGCAAAGAGTTTAAGGCTAGCTTGGGTTACACAAGGCTGCCTGGAAAAGGAAACTCCTCCTCTCTCCCGGGGTCCCAGGTCCACTGAGGCGCTGACACCCGTGCACGTGGCCGCCGTGTGGGGCTGTCGTGGCGCCCTGGAGCTGCTGCTGAGCCGAGGGGGCGACCCGACGCTGCGAGACCAGGTCGGGATCCCATGCAGCGCAGCGCGAGAGGCGGGGGTGAGGGTGGAGGAGGACGGGCCGTGGGCGCCCCCTGCTGAGATGACCGTGTCTGTACAGGACGGGCTCCGGCCACTGGACTGGGCTCTGCAGCAGGGACACCATGACTGCGCACGCCTGCTGCGGGAGCTGGACACGCCCACCCGGACTCGGAAGGAGACCCTGGAGCCAGCTGGTGAGCAGAACCCAGGGGGTGCAAGGAACCTGTCACCGGGCTGCATCACTTCTGGGATCAGTTCCACCTGCCCATTTGCCATCTGTCAATCACTATCCATCATCTCTCAGTCATCTTATCACCTAACTTTTATCTGTCATCTATCTTGTCTATATCATCTATTTATATCTGTTTATCTGTCTGATTAGTTATCATCTATCTATATATTTATATATGTTTATCTATATTTAGAGAAGTTACCTGTAGCCCTGGCTGGCCTTGAATCCACCATGGATCGAGAACGTGTCTTTGTGGGGCCTCCTGGCGTCTTTATACCTCCGTGTTTGTCACCGGACTCAGAGCAGCTCATGCACAGAGCTGAGCTGACAGCAGCTCCTGAGATGGCGGTACAACTCGGCAGCCCTGAGGCCACTGGGAGCCCGGACTGCAGCAGCAGCGACACCTCCTTTGTCACTGCATTGGAGGACTCTCTGCAGCCCCAGCGCTCTTCGGGGACACTGGGGCCCGCAGCCAGCCTGTGGCAGTCTGGTGGGGCTGAAGCAGCTGGGGATGGGGTGCTGAGCTGCCAGCTGCAGGCCCTGACGTTGACCTCAGGGGCCACCAAAGTCCCATCTCTGCCCGGGGATGGGAACTCTGGGGCCTTGCATCCACATGACTCGGTGCCCCCCGTGTCCGACCTGCAACTGCTTCAGGCCTTGCGGGCACTGGGCCACAGTCCTGGCCCGGTCACCCCTTTCACCCGTGGACACTACTTGCGGCGGCTGCAGGAAGCCCAGGCTAGCCCGGGTGAGTCCCTTGGCAGGACTGGGAGTCCTTAGCGGTCTGGAATCCCGAGACTGGCCTGTTAGCCCCACCGTCCTCACCGGCTGTCATCCTCAGTTCTGGCTCGGTTTCCCTTTCCCAACCCTTCCAGGGCACAGCCCAGAACTGGCTGAGGTGCTCAGAACAGGCCGCATTCCCGACTGCCAGGCGGATGAGGCCGCCCTGGCTCAGCACTTTCAGCAGCTGGATCCCACGAAGAGGTGGCGGGGAGGCGTCACCAAGTGCAGCTTTACATATCTTCTTCTTGACCCCAGGTATGATGGTGACAGTAAAGCTGGGGCTTGGGATTAGAGGGATCCTGGCTCCGCAAGTTCTGCCCTGACAGGTGGGGAAGGGTTGGATTGTCCCTTGCTGGTGGCTTCTGTCTCCATGAGGCTAAGAGGGGGGCGGGCTGTGAGCACGAGGCCTGGGTTGTAACAGGAAGATTCTGTACACACACACACACACACACACACACACACACACACACACTAGATGGTGGGGATTTATTTATTTTTGATTTGCTGTGTGTCCCTAGGGAAGGGACTAGCCTTCTCTGTTAATCGGAGCCAGTTCCGGCTGTGAGTACCCATTTCATGGCTTATAAAATAGGGGCCCCTGGATGTGGGTTCAAAAGGGCCCATGGCTCTGGGGACAGCGGTCATTTTCCCTCTCTGAGACATCCTTCCACCCCCACCGCCCTTTTTTTTTTTTTTTTTTTTTTTTTTTTTTACACATTTTATTTTCTGTGCATGTGTCTGTGTGTGCACATGTGGAGGTCAAAGGGTAACTTCTGGGAACTGATTTTTCTCCTCTATCATGTGGGTCGTCAGGGTTGGTTGGCAGCAGGCTCCTTCACCTTCTGCGCCACTCTGTACCCAGGCAGACACAGGGACTGCCTGCCCGAGCCTCCTCCCTCACACTGGCTGAGTGTCTGCAATGTTTCGTGGGAGCTATCTTCTACGTGGGCAAGGGGACCCGCGCCCGACCAGATGCCCACCTCTGGGAAGCCCTCGGCTACCGTGAACGCCCAGGGAAAAAGGTGAGGACAAGGGGCAGGAGTGATCAGGCCAGCCAGCCTTCAGACAGTCGGAGGGCAGAAGGCTTAGGATCCGACTCCTGATTCACCATCCTCCAGGCCTGTCCCAAGGTACGCCGGATCTTAGACATCTGGGCCAGCGGCCGCGGTGTCCTTTCTCTACACTGCTTCCAGCACACGGCCGCCGTGGAGGCATACACGCGGGAGGCCTGCCTGTTGGAGGCCCTAGGTAAGGGTCTGGTTTCTAGGTCTCAGGGAAAGTGAGCTCTGAATTCCCTCACTGTTCATGTTCATTCCCATGGTGGGCAGTTACCTGTATACCTAGAACACGCCTGTTTAAATATAGTCTGTGCCGCTTGTTGTGGTGGAGGGGTGGGTGGAGGCCACGCCATGACTTTGCCTCTGATCTGTCCAGGTATCCAGACACTGACCAACCAGAAACAGGGCCACTACTATGGAGAGGTTGCCCACTGGCCATCCACGAAGCGGCGGCGCTTGGGGGTGTACCTGCTACATCGTGCTCTGCTAGTTTTCCTGGCTGAGGGGGAACGAGAGCTGAGGCCTCAGGACATCCAGGCCTGAGGTTGAGTGCTGAGGACATGATCGTGAAGCCTGAGCAATCAGGGTGTCTGTGCGTCCCAGGGGCAGGTCCCCAACTGTGTCCCCAGCTCTGGATTCAACGGCTTGGTGTGTGTGTGTGCAAGTGTGTACATGTGTGCTGAAGTATGTGAGTGATGGTATGTCTAGGTGTTCTTGGGTAGGTGAGCTTCCCATTGTGTGCGGGGCAAGCCAGCCGAGGGGCAGAAGGTCCTCTAGAACATTCTACTTCTGCATAGATAGTGAGCTTCTCTCATTGTGTGTGCCAGGCAAGCCAGCTGAGGGGCAGAAAGTCCTCTAGAACATTCTACTTTGTCTCCGTGCCTCATTTTTTGATGCACGGAGACTTTGAAAGAGAGATCAGGCCAGACGTGTTAATGGTGGCCTACCACCACAACCTTCGGGAGGATGGGGCAAGAGGATTGCTAGTTGGAAACTGGCATACATTTGTATTTGGTTGGAGGCCTCTGTGTGTGTTTAGTGGCGACAATCCTTCCCCTGTGGGTGTCCACAGTCCAGGGCCCAAAATATGCTCTTGGGAGCGCATCTAGGGTCAAGCAAGGCTGCAGAGCTCAGACTAACTGGGAGTGGAGTGTGTGTGTATGTGTGTGCATGTGCATGCGTGCACGCATGCTTACAGTGTTCCTAGGAATGCCCTACCCCTCTGCAGCCTGTGCTGTGTCTAGCCCTTTGCCCTCTAAGCATCCAACCAGCCTGAGGTTGTGGTCTGCCTCCTTGGTCCTCACCCTTTTCCATGACCAAGTGGCTGCCTTCCTCTGTGAGCTTCAGGAAAGCCCGCAGAGGGATCTGCAGGCACATGGGGAAGTCCCTCCTGCTGTCTACCCTTCAGCCCCACCCAGATGATCTCCAGAATGGCCCGCCACTCTGCTGGAACCTCACCAGGTATTCATTCACTCAGTTAACACCCATGAAGCACCTACAGTATGCCTGAGGTAGGCCTTCTCAACCTTGGCTCTGTGGACTGCTTGGGGTTGCGTCGCTGCTGTGGGGATATCGTGTGTGTTGTAGGGTGCTGGGCATCCCCCCTCTCAGGATATAAGGGAAGCTCTGCCCTCTTCCACCAGAAGGTTGCCCACCTGTCTTGGGTCACACCACTTGGAAGTGCCACTGAGGAAGAACAGACCTCCAGATTGCCCAGCTGACAGCCCTGCCCAGCAGAGACCACGCCCACAAGCCACACCCACTTAGAGCAAGCCACAGCAAGGCTTGCAGCCTGGGAACCATACGGCCTGGAAGCTCTGGAACTGTGGCTGAACCCTTTACTTGGACCTAGATTGAGACACTTGAGGGTCATGCCTTGCGGGTGCCACACCCCCAAGTTCTCCATGCAGCTGGCTGCTGCTTCAACGGGGCTGCTTCAAAATAGCAGCCTTCTGTTTCGTTCAAATGCTAGCTGAGGGCTGGTTGTGGCCAAGAAACCAGGTTCCAAGTTCAAATACTTTTTTGTTTATTTTTCTTATGCTTTTTTTGAGACAGGACTTCCCTGTGTTGTCCTGACTGTCTTGGAACTCGCTCTGTAGACCAGACTGGCCTTAAACTCACAGAGATCCACCTGCCTCTGCCTGTGGAGTGCCGTTATTAAAGGCGTGCACCACTGTCTGGCTCCAGCACAAATTCTTTTAGATTATTTATTTTTATTTCATGTGCATTGTGTTTTTGCCTTCATGTATGAGGGTGTTAGAGTCCCTGGAACTGGAGTTACGGTTGTGAGCTGCCATGAGGGTGCTGGGAATTGAACCCTGGTCCTCTGGAAGAGCAGCTCAGTGCTCTTAACCACTGAGCCATCTCCCCAGCCCCAGCACAAATTCTTAATGTCACTGTGGAGCTGGCAAAAGGAGAATCAGTCGTTCGCAAGGGTTTAGAGCCATGGGGGCCTGAGATGTCTGGGTGCTGGCCTAGCCTGCAGGAGGCTTTGGAGGTGCTGGGAATGGGGCGGGGAAGAGGGTATTGTGATAGGTGTGTGCCTGGCCAGCCTGAGTTGCACAGTGAACTCCGTTTCAGTACAACAGACTTGTGGTTTAGTGTCCTTAGGCAAGGGGGGAGGCATTTCTGCTCATCGGCTTCCTTATAAGAGGTTTGGGGTACCTTGAGCCAGGAGGGTCAGGAGTTCAAAGCCAGTTCAGCTATGAAGCATGTTTACAGTCACCTTCAGTTTGCTCACAGAGCAAAGCTGCTGCACTGTCTCCATGCTGGGAGTGCAGCCCAGCCTGTCATGTTGCTGTCCCATGGAGCCTGTGGTGGTCTCCCTCTCCTGTCTCATTGTTTCGCCTGCATTTGGGGACAATCCCCAGGGGACCTTGTTCTTTTGTGTCTGGAACTTCCTGTGAGGTCAGGGCTACCCTGGTCATGAGTTTAGATGCCCGGCAGAAGGAGCACACTTTGTGTGGTGGCTGCTTGGCCTGGGGTGCCAGGATCTGGGATGCAGCTGCTGCAGCACCCTGCTTATCTTCCTGGATGGGGGCAGTGGCAACTGCAACCTCAGGACTGAGGATGTGCCCTGCAGCAGCAGTGTCTGACAGCCCCAACTCTTCAGTGTGTGTGTGTCTGTGTGTGTGTGTTCTGTCTGACAGTCTCACACGCATGTGTTCGCATTTCTACATCTCCCTCTCTAGGGGTAGGTAAACTTTGATCCTTTCTGCTGGACAGGCAGTGAGCTCCCCAGGTGGGTGGAAATTAGTGTGTGTGGGGGGAACAGAAGTTACTCTAGAACATTCCACTGCATCACTAGGTCTGTCATCCTGGGGAGACAAGCAGAGAGGAAGTATCTTAGCTTTCCTGCTGCTGGGGAGAAGCATGTCAGAGGGGAAGGCTGTGTTGGCTCGCCATTGGAGGTTCCAGCCTGGTTTCACCTTGCTGCCACACCATGGACAGAGAAGATGCAGTGGTCCATGCTGCTGGCGGGCTGATCCTGGGCTAATTCTCTTCACTTTTACACAGTTCAGGCCCCTGCCTATTGTGGTGGCTCATGAGTGACTCAGCTTTTATTTGGAGTTTATTTTATAGAAAAAAGAAATGGCTGCTAGTGCAGCTCACGAGATAGACAGCAAGTGCTGCTCCTTCTCCCAAGGACAGCGTGGGGAGGTGCTTAGCTCTTTGTTCCGCCTTCTGCCTTCAATATGTATAAAAATAAGTTCTAAAACTGGCTGGTATTTACCAACAGACCTCCCAAATCTAGCCTGTGTTTTTGGTCGCAATTTCTTTCGATCTGGTATTTCCTCAAGCTCATGCCCCTTCCAGGTGCCATAGCTGACTGCCTGGGGCGTGCTGCCCACAGGGCACTGGGCAGTGAGCCATCAAGGCCACCTTCCACCTTGATCTAGATAATTCTTTAAGTCTGCTCTGTTGAGCTAAGAGGTGATGGTGCACACCTTCAGTCCCAGCCCTTGGGAAGCAGAGGTAGACAAATCTCTGAGTTCGAGGCCAACCTGGTCTACAGAGTGAGTTTCAGGACCAACCAGGGCTACAGAGAGAAACCCTGTGTTGAAAAACCAAACAGGAAAAAATTCTGTTCTGTGGGCTTGGGGGATGGCTCTGAGGTTAAGACTACCGGCTGCTCTTGCAGAGGACCTGGCTTTGGTCCTCAGCACCCACATGGTGGCTCACAGACATCTGTAACTCCAGCTCCAGGGGACCTGACACTCTTCTTCTGACCTTCACAAGCAACTGCAGTCATGTACACATACATACAATTAAAAATAAAAGTTGCTGAGCTTGGTGGCTGTCTCAGGGATTTTATTGCTGTGAAGAGACACAATGACCACAAAGACTTTTCTTTAATTTTTTTTAAAAAAATACTATCTTTTCTCATCTTACATACCAATTCCAGTTCCCATTCCCTCCCCTCCTCCTGCTCCCTCCCCCTTCCCCTGTATCCCACCCCCATCAACTCAGAAAGGGTAAGGCTTCTCATGGGAAGGCACCAAAGTCTAGCAGATTGCTTTGAGGCAGGACCAAGGCCCTCCCCACTATATCTAGGCTGAGCAAGGTATCCCTCCAAAGAGAATGGGATCCAAAAAGACAGCTGAAGCACTAGGGATAAATTCTGGTCTCCTTGTTGGTGGCCCTGCAGTCTGCCCCAGTCATACAACTGTCACCCACATTCAGAGGGCCTAGTTTGGACCTATGCTGGTTCCCTTGCTGTCAGACCAGAGGCAATGAGCTCCCATTAGTTCAGGTAGCTGTTTCAGTGGGTGTCCCCATCATGGTCTTGACCCATTTGCTCACATTATCGCTCCTTCCTCTCTTTGACTGGACTCTATGAGCTCAGCCCAGTGCTCTTCTGTGGTTCTCTGCATTTGCTTCTATCAGTTGCTGGATGAAGGTTCTATGATGATATTTAATGTAGTCATCCATCTGACTATAGGGCAAGGCAATTTCAGGCATCTCCACAGTTGTTTAGGGTCTTAACTGGGTTTATTCTCATGGATTTCTGGGAATTTCTCTAGCTAGCCCCATAGTGGCTCCCTCAATCAAGATTTCTCTTTACTTGCTCTCCCTCTCTGTCCTTTCCTTCATAGTGGCCACTGGAAGGGTGAGGTAAAGGGCCAGATTGGAGGCCAACCTGGGCTACTCACCGAGTCCATTTGACACCTATATGTTTTCCAAGATAGGGTTTTTGGGCCTGGTTGTCCTGAACTCATTCTGTAGAACAGGCTGGCCTTGAACTTGGAGATCTGCCTCCTAAGTGGTGGGATTAAAGGTGTGCACCACCTGGCATAACTGGATGTCAACACGTAGAAGAATGCAGATAGACCCATATCTATCTCATGCACAAAACTCAAGTCCAAATGGGTCAAAGATTGCAACATAAATCCAGTTACACTGAACTTGATAGATGAGAAAGTCAGAAGTAGCCTTGAACGCACCGGAGACCACTTTCTAAATTGAACACCAGTAGCACAGACACCAGGAGCAGCAATTAGATGGGACCTCCTGAAACTGAGAAGCTTCTGTAAGGCAAAGGACACGGCCAATAAGACAAAACAGCAGCCAACAGAATGAGATCTTCACCAGCTTCACATATGATAGGGTTGAGTTACAAAATATATAAAGAACTCAAACCAGGGGAGATAGTTTATGTCTAATAATTATAGCACTTGGGAGGCAGAGACAGGTGGATGTCAGTGAGTCCGAGGCCAACCTGGTCTACAAAGTTCCAGGACAGCCAGAACTGTTACACAGAGAAATCCTGTCTAAAAACCAAAACAAACAAACAAAACCCCCAAATAGTCCAATTAAAAAATGGGACACAGATCTGAACAGAAAAATTTCAACAGAAGAATCTCAAATGGCCAAAAGACATTTAAGACAATGCTTAACATCCTTAGTCATCAAGGAAATGCAAATCAAAATGACTCTCAGGTACATCTTACACTTTCAGAATGACTAAGATAAAAAACATGGATGACAACTCATGCTGAGGATGCGGAGTAAGGGAAACACTCCTCCATTTCTGGTGGGAGTGCAAACTTGTACAGCCACTTTGGAAATCAGTGTGGTGGTTTCTCAGAAAATTAGGAATCAATTTACCTCAAGACTCAAGTATCCCACTCTTGGGCACATATCCAAAGAATGCTCAATCATACCACAAAGACATTTGCTCAACTATATTCATAGCAGCCTTATTTGTAATAGCCAGAACCTGGAAACAACCTAGAAGCTCCTCAACTGAAGAATGGATAAAGAAAATGTGGTACATTTACACAGTAGAGTATTACTTAGCTGTATATATATATATATATATATATATATATATATATATATAAAGACATTTTGAACTTTGTAGGCAAATGAACAAATGAATGGAACTAGAAAAAAAAAACTATCCTGAGTGAGGTAACCCAGACCCAGAAAAACAAGCATGGCATATATGCTTGTTAGACATACAGCAAAGGATAACCAGATTGCAATTCACAACACCAGAGAAACTAGGTAAAAAGGAGGACCCTTCTGGTTGATGGTGGCCTACCCCTTTTAATCTGAGCACTCAGGAGGCAGGGACAGGGAAATCTCTGTGAGTTTGAGGCCAACCCGGTCTATAGAGGGAGTTCCAGGACAGACTCCAAAGCTAAGGAGAAACACTGTCTAGGGAAAAACAAAAGACCCTAAGAGAGACACACACGGAGGGCCCCAGGAAAGGAAAATAGTTAAGATCTCATGGGTCAGCTGGGAAGGGGAATAAACGGGAGGGGATGTGCGATGAAACATGAGAGCTCGAGATGGCCAAGTTGGGGGAGGGATGGAATGGGAGAGCAATGAAAGAGATATCTTGATAGAGGGAGTCATTATGGAGTTAGGGAGAAACCAGGTGTAAATCCCGGACTCTGGCTCCATCTTTGGAGGCCCCGCCCCTGTGCCCCTTGCACCTTGACCCCTCCCCAGAGGAGGTCAGGACCACTTCCCCAGACTATTTAAACTGCCCCTTGCATAGTCAACGTGTGGTCTCTTCCCCCACCCCATGGTCTGGTCGCATTGGCGGCTTCTCGGTTCCCCCCGGGGGCCACCCAAGAACGCAGGAGTCCTATTAAACCTGGATATCTTTTAATTTGGCTTGTTTTGATTTGGCTTGATTGAGATTTTTGTGTTGACAGAGAGCTCGTGTTAGAAAATATTTCTAACCCCAGGTACTAGGGAAATTCCCAGGAGTCCACAAAGATGACCCCCGCTAAGACATCTAGCAATAGTGGAGAGGGTGCCTGATCCGGCTTTCCCCTATAATCAGATTAGTGAGTACCCTAATTGTTATCATAGAAACTACATCTGATGGAAGCAGATGCAGTGACCCACTGGATTCGGCACTAGTCTGAGCTCCTGGAACTTAATTAAGGTCATGATTGGGAAAACCACAGAGACAGTCGACCCGAGCTAGAGGGAGCTCAGGGACTCTGGACTGACAGCTGGGGATCCTGCATATAGGACCGAAATAAGTCCTCTGAATGTGGGAGAGAGTTGTGTGGCTTGATATGTTGGGGGGACCCAGCAGTGGGACCAGGCCTTATTCTGGGGGCCTGAACTGGCTTTTTGGAGCCCATTCCCTATGGCAGGATACCTTGCTTAGCCTTGACACAGAGGGGAGGGGTTTGACCTTGCCTCAACTTGGTATAACAGACTTTGTTGACTCCGCATGGGAGGTCTTACCTCTTCTGAGGAGTGGATGGGGGGGGGGGTTGAATAAGAGTGGTGAGGGGCGGGAGGAGGGGGAGGGGAAACTAGGAATAGTATGTAAAATCGAAAAATTTTTAAATTAAAAAAAAGAAAAAAAAAAGGTGTGCACCACCATAGCATGTCATCTTTTGTTTGTTTGTTTCTAAGTTTATGTGTGTGGGCGCCTTTCCTGCATGTATGTGTACCGTGTGCACGCAGGGTCCATGGAGGCCAGAAGAGGGTGTCAGATGCTCTGGAGTAGCAGGAATAGGTGGCTGTCAGCCACTATGTGGGCGCCAGGAGTCGAACCCAAGTCCTCTGCAAGAGCAGCTGGTGCTCTTAAGCACTGAGCCACCTCTCCAGGCCCAGTATTTTAAAACCCAACTTGGGCTCTATTTGAGATTTTAGTAGGAAAAGCTACCCAGTGTCTTTGGTGTGGCTCACAGGGTGTGGTCTTCGAATGTCTTGAAATGCATGTGAAACATGATTAAAAAAAAACTCAGGGTCAGAAATTGGGGTTCAACCTGAAGATCCAAAAAGCAAAACAGCCAACCACTGGCTCTTGCCTCTACCTTAGTCTGAAATGGCGATCCTGCCTCCAGATTTCTCAGAATGAGACTGTTGTCTGAGAACTGTGTCCTCCATCTTATTCCTCTGTAGGGCTGGGATTAAAGTCGTGCACCTCCTGATTTCTATGGCAACTAGGGTGGCTACTGGGATTAAAGGTGTGTGTTACCATAATCTGGTCTGTAAGGCTGACCAGTGGGTCTATTTTACTCTCAGATCTTCAGCCAGTCTTTATTTATTAACATATTATTGAAATGCCACTGCAGGCATGTATTTCTGTGGT